TCTCTTCTGGACTTGACATATATTGACTGTCTCATCTCCTCCGTCCACCTCTCATAGGCTTCTTAACTTCCAATTAAAGAATTAGCTCTTTACTTATGTGATAAATCGTTTCATGGTACTTGTCTCTAAAGGTTTTGAAAGTCCAGTGATGACACATCCCCTGCTGCTTGAGAAAAACTCCAGGTCTGCTCCCTGTGCAACCGCCACATGGCAAAGCCACTGTGTAAGACACGTGTGGGCGGAGTGTTTTACAAAATTCAGGGAATACAATGCTCGCCTTTTTAGAGTTAGACGTCTGAGAACAAGGCTGTGCTCGTAGGAGCTGGCAGGAAGAAAATCGCTAGAAACGGCATCTGCCTCTCTGGAAGGGTTTGGTTTGAGATTCTGAGAGAATTGTGGCCCAGGTCAGCGGGCTCGAGCGTAACACTCATGACCTCATTGTCTGAAGACTTAAGGGAAGGGTGAAGCTGAGAGTCTGGGCTCTGGGGCCCGACGTCCTGCTGCTTAGTCACCTGGGGCCCGACGTCCTGCTGCTTAGTCACCTGGGGCCCGACGTCCTGCTGCTTAGTCACCTGGGGCCCGACGTCCTGCTGCTTAGTCACCTGGGGCCCGACGTCCTGCTGCTTAGTCACCTGGGGCCCGACGTCCTGCTGCTTAGTCACCTGGGGCCCGACGTCCTGCTGCTTAGTCACCTGGGGCCCGACGTCCTGCTGCTTAGTCACCTGGGGCCCGACGTCCTGCTGCTTAGTCACCTGGGGCCCGACGTCCTGCTGCTTAGTCACCTGGGCGAGTCACTTAACCTCGTGCTTTCCCTCGCTATCTGTGAGATGGCGATCGCCACAGTTCCTGCCCTAGGGTTGCCAAGGGGATTGAGTGGCGTGAGCGCGTGGCCTGCACAGCCCACCTCCTGACATGAGCAGCGTGCAGTCAGCACTTGCCGTCAGTGGTTCCTGAAGCCAGAGTGAGGTGTGCTCAGGCTCCGTGGAGAGAGCTGTGCTTTGTGAGGGCCAAGGAGCATTGGATTCCTTCCACAGGGAAGCTGCTGTGATTACCCATGAGCCCTTCTGTAGTCACTTTATGTGAATTGCAAAGAAAATTCTGGAACTTACATCTTCAGGACACGTTCATCTTTGGAGTTTTTTCATTCCTCTTTGATCTTGTCACATGCGGTTGGTCGTCACTTCCAGAAATACATCTGAAGGCCAGCGGGTGGAAGTAACAGCCTAGAGGAGACGGAGGCATGGCAGCCTCTCTGAGACCTGCCCTGGATGCCCGCCCCTCCCTCTTCACTGCAGCTCAGCGCACGTTCCCTGAGCACCGCTGCTTTCATTCTCTGTGAGGCTCCGGGTCCAAGGGGGAGCAGGCAGTGCCCATTCTCATGGAACTTAGTTCAGGGGCAATACATGTAAACACATCTGACCCACCGTGATGCAAACACAAATGGAAGCGCGGGGGAGGTCAGCAAGGCACACAGGGGAAGAGGAAGGAAAGTCGCCCAGACTTTACGTGACATCTCCGTAGACTGTGAATAAGAAAAGGGCAGGTCAGAGTCAGCATTGTTTGTATAGAAGAACTGGACCTGGGAGCCGGGGTGGGGTGTGTGTGTGTGTGTGTGTGTATGTGTGTGAGCGATAGAAGGTGGAATTGAAGATGGAGGCCAGAGCGCTTGACGATGTCAGATCCTAGCCTTCGCCGTGTGTGTGTGTGTGTGTGTGTGTGTGTGTGTGTATGTATGTGTGTGAGCGATAGAAGGTGGAATTGAAGATGGAGGCCAGAGCGCTTGACGATGTCAGATCCTAGCCTTCGCCGTGTGTGTGTGTGTGTGTGTGTGTGTGTGTGTGTGTGTGTGTGTGTGTGTATGTATGTGTGTGAGCGATAGAAGGTGGAATTGAAGATGGAGGCCAGAGCACTTGACGATGTCAGATCCTAGCCTTCGCCGTGTGTGTGTGTGTGTGTGTGTGTGTGTGTGTGTGTGTGTGTGTGAGCGTGTGATCGATAGAAGGTGGAATTGAAGATGGAGGCCAGAGCACTTGACGATGTCAGATCCTAGCCTTCGCCGTGTGTGTGTGTGTGTGTGTGTGTGTGTGTGAGAGAGAGAGAGTGTGAGAGAGATAGGAGATGGAATTGAAGATGGAGGCCAGTGCTAGACCATGGCAGAGCCTGGCCTTTTTCATGTGTGGACATGGGGGCTTAAAGTGACTTTAGGCCACAGGATGCTGTAAGGTCTGAGCCTTTATCAGGACCGCGCTCATGGGGAGGATGAGCTTGTAGAGGGTGGAGGCCGCGCCGGCAGGCTCACATCCCCAGTGCACATTCGTTGGGCCAGCGGCAGAGTCCTATGGCGCTTGGCACCCCTCAAGCCTAGTACTGTCTATAGGCATTGAAGACACTGTCTGAAATAAAGACAGCCCCAGTTGAATTTTCCAATTCTGCATCCTCTCCTCAGAACATGCTGACCTGGACCTCCATCTGTCACAAGCAGCTTGATTAGGATTGTAATAAATTCTTTTTTCTTGGCATTCTTTTAACTGGCTCTCTCTGTTTACTAGCCCCTCTGTGCAACTGTAGTGTGGCGATGATGGATGCTTATAATCCTGACCCTGAAGTGCTCCAAGCCTTCTAAATCATCAAAAAAAGATTAAGTATATTCAATATTGCTGTAATGTTTATGTGTTTTACTGCATTCTTATCCTTTGGAAATTGATGATGGTTTATCAAGTGCCCAGGTACTCGTGCGCACACGGGGCAGGTGAGAGTCTGTGATCACCCACAGCTCTCCACTCCCACACAGCACCAGGCATGGGGTGTTTATTAGCAATACACACTCAGAAAGAAGCCAGCGAAACAGCCCTGGGTGCTCTCCAGGCCTAGCCAGAGCAAACAGGTTGGTCCCAGAGGGGCAGACTGGGGAGAGACAAGAGAGGAAGCGGTGGTCAGAGAAGGGTGGGGTGGAAGAGCAAGAACTGACAGGCAGCCAGTCCAGCAGTCTCCAGGCACGCCCACGCTGCTGCCCAGCCCCAGAGGGGCACGCCTCGGGGCAGGACCCCAGCTTCAGGCTCTCGCGCGCCTTAGCCCAGGTGAGGTCTGCAGGCTTGAATATGGCAGGGTTCTCCACCAGCTCTGTTTGTAACGTGGTAAAAACTGTTCGGTAAAATGCCTCACGTCAGCAAGTGAAAACACCAATAATTAGACTGTCCTGTGTCTCCCCCACCCCAGCGCCCCCAGCCCACACATCTTTTCATGACAACCATTATTACGCAGCGCTGACAATATGACTTGGCCCAAAATGAAGAGCTCTGAATAGAAGCTGTGAGATGGCTCCATTTTGTCACCTGGCTTCCAAAACCAGGCCTGGGAGGATGTTTTTAGGAGGGAGGTTTAGTGTTGGCTTTTTCTTTGGGGGGGCCGAGGGGGGATGTATGTTGCAGCAAGTAGAGATATCACTCACATTTTCTCATACAGATTCGCATTTAGACTCTGCCTGTCTGATCAGCAAGTCCCACCCGTGTCCCCGCACCACGGCGGCTCTGTCTATCACCCTCTGGGCTCGGGCATGTGTGGACTCAAGCTGGCTTTATCATTTGCCTGTTCTGAGGTCTGGGCGAGTCTCGTGGTCTTTCTGGGTCTTTATTCTTTTTCTGATATGTTGGAATAGTACAAATTCCTTCTGTACAGGGTTGCTGTGAGGTTGAAATAAAATGGTGATTGTGAAAAACCTTAACCAGAAAGCTCTACATAGATAAAAACATACTAAATGCACTATTGAACCTCATAAATATTCTAATGAAAAATAGAAACATACTGCAAGAGTCAAGCGCAGTCCTCAAAACTTTCACTGAAGCAGAGTGGGGGAAAGGAGCTGTTTATTGAATTCCTGCCCTAGAGCAGCTGTGACTATAGCCGGCCGTGACTGTCCAGGCTGCATGGTGGACGGTAACTCTCTCTGCCCCTGAGATGGGGAACTGTGGCTTCCAGGCCTGCAGCCGTGCACACACAGCCCAGGAGAGGCGAGGGCCTGTCTGACTCCACATCTCAATGCGTTTCTTCCTTATCTCTAGCTGTCAACCTTATTCCAGTCACTCACCCACCCAAAGTTCTGAAACCTGTCTCCTTCCTTTGGGGCTAGAACATTTGCTAGCCCTTCCTTGGTCTTTTGCTCCTGAAAGCTGGACAGGGTGGGATCCAAAAGGAGCTCTGGGGCCCCGGGGGCAGCAGGTGAAGGGGAAGTGTGCCCAGCCCTTGCTTCTGGGGCTCAGCCGGGCCTGGACCCGAAGCAGGAGGCAGGCGCAGGCACTTCCCAGCCCTGAAGGAGATGGCTGCAGCCCTTTCGGTTCCAGAAGCGCATTCTCTCTCTGTCACGGTGTTTCCGAGCCTCACCGAGGTGGTTTGGAGAGCTGCTTCTCAAAGCCTCCTCCAGGAGTCCGTGCCTCTGTGTGTTCTGAGTGGCTTCTTGCTCTGCTAGCAGTGGGATGAGACTGAGGAATAACCTCTCCTGAGCTTTGCTGGGACCCTCCCTGTTAACTTTGATGTCTTGTCAGGTGTCAGGGGAAAGGACCCCAGACGAGGCAGTTATTAAGTGCCCAGCGCCACCACAGCTTCCTTTATTGTTTTCTTTTTTAAATCAGCCTTCTCCAATTTGGGCTTCCCTGGTGGCTCAGATGGTAAAGAATCCGCCTACAGTGTGGGAGACCTGGGTTCAATCCCTGGATTGGTAAGACCCCCAGGAAAAGGGAACAGCTGCCCACTGCAGTATTCTTGCCTAGAGAATCCCATGGACAGAGGAGCCTGGCGGGCTCCAGGCCATAGGGTCGCAGAGTCGGACACCACTGAGCGACTTGCACTCACTTCCCCAATTGCAGACACACAGAGTTGGCTTGTGAGCTGAGCTGCCCACAGGAAGAGCCAGAGCTCATGCCTGTCGAAGGGTGAGATCGTAGGTCCAGGGAGGGTGTCCACGGGGAGGCACATTTGTTCAGGCGGTGGGTGTCCTGTCCCCACAGGTCCTCAACAGGCGGTGCGTGGAGGCGGCCGTGATGACTGGCCTGGCCCTGGACTGTCACATCAACAGGAAGTCCTTGTTTGACCGGAAGCACTACTTCTATGCAGACCTCCCTGTGAGTACGCTCTGCCTGTCTGTCCATCCCCCTACCCAGAGCCAGGACTTGGCTGTCAGGGGGTGCTGCGTGCATCCTCAGCCAGAGCTCAGTCCAGCCCTGCGGGGGGCCCTGCCTGGCTGATGAAGCCAGTGCCCCCTGACATGGACCAGATTGGACACCGAGTCCTGATGGCTGGTTCTGACCAGGAGACTCATGCTTCTGGGGCTCGCTTGTAATTGACCACAGAGGGGAGGCAGCCTGCGTTCTCAGGCTCAGCCCAGCTGTGGGGTTTGGTGCTAATTGCCAGTTAAGACAGAAGCCACCTCCGTGCAGCAGTCAATGCATCCTGTGGCTCGGAGGACAAGGAGAGCATCCCTCTGTCAAGTTGGGTTTCCCAGTAATGGGACCATCTCCTCTGCAGACATGCCTGCCATCCCCAAGGACCACATAAGTGGACAGTAGTAAGCAGAAACATGAACCAGAAGCCTGGATGGATGACAGTAATGGGCAAAGCAGTAAACCTGATATTAACCTGCCTTTTCCTTAAAATTAGAAAGTTTTTTTCTTTATGAGAAAAGCCAGTATGAACTGGAGCCAATTTTTCATAGTATTGAACTGCACCAAAACTGTAATGTTGAGTGGGTTTCCCAAATGATGTTTGATTTGCTCTGAGCCTCTGATAGTGAGTGTTGCCCTGCTTGAGGTTTAGGCAGTCAGCAGTGTTGCTGTTGTTTCACATTATTCTCCCGGAACTGAAGATGGGGGTGAGCTGCTTTCAGCAGGTGCAGGCAGGAGTGGAGTTAAATAAAAAGTACAACAGGAACCTGAATTCTCTAGTTGCTACTATTTTTCCCCTCTGACTGCCAGCTTTTTAGCAAATTCCACTGCTTTTTAGGGAAGAAAGAATTAAACGGCATTTATTCATCTTTTAAGAGCGATAACGAGTTTGGTTAAGGTGGGAGATGTAGCAGTAAGCACCTAAAATATGAGATGCTTAATTTTTCTGGCTCTCTGATCTTTCTGGCCCAGGTAGCTCACATAATCTGGAGTTAGTGTTGCCAAATATTACATGGGACATGCTTATACTAAAAAAGTGTTCATTTTTATCTACACAGTTTATTCATATTATTACAGTTTTCACTGAACATCTGTATTTTAGTTGGCAACCATACCCAGAGTTTAATTTTTACAGATTAAGACTTCCTGTCTCAGCACAGAAAACAAGGTGGCCTAATGCAGTGGTTCTCAAAGTGCGTTCCCCAGGCCACTAGCATCAGCGTCTCCTAGGAACGTGTCAGAAATAGAGATTGTCAGGCACCACCCCAGACTTGCAGAGTCAGAAACACTTCAGGTGGGGCCAAAAGATCTGTGTTTTGACCACCCTGCCAGGTGATTCCGATACAGCTTAAGCTTGAAAAGGGTGGCCAGGAAGCCAGGAGCACAGACTCAGGAGCCAGTCAGCCAAGTTCAGACCCTAATGTTGATGCTTACTGGCTCTCTGGCTTTGGCCCCGGTCCTTAGCCTCTGCATGCCCTGTGCCTGGTTCCTGCGGCTGTCCTGAGAACTGAACGGTGTGAAGTGCCGAGAGCGGAGTCCGGGGATGCTGCGTCCTCTGTCCTTCCCCGTGTCTAGCCTGCCCTCTCTTTAGTGTACGTGCGTCTGAAAGGAATCCTTCCTCCCCACTAAGAAGGGGTGAGGGGGCGCTGGCAACATCCGTCAGTGTTTCCCTACTCCATGTTTCCCGTCGCTGGAGCGTGAGTGTCCCTGCATCTTCTGGCTCGAGGAACCAGGGAGGTCGGGTCAGGGAGGGCATCTGACATGATCGGTTGGCTCAGGGAGCAGGAACAAACCCAGCCTCACGGCGCTGGCAGCTGCTGTCGGCTGCGCTGAGACGCGATGGCAGGGTGCTTAGCTAGCACTCCCAGTTAGAGGGTCTGCCAGGAGCCCAGTAAGCAGATGCAGGGCTGAGCTAACGAGCTAAGTGGGAACAACATGTTCTTTTCTTCGAGGCTGCAGACAGAGAGATGATTGTTAGTCCCCAGAATGGTACTCAGCAGGGAAGAGCGAGGATCCGTGTGGTTTACTGCTTCATCACTGGGGCTGTGGGGGCAGGGGACTCAGAGAAGTCAGGAGAGGCCAGGCTAGATTATGGCCATAGACTAATTTTTCGTCTCGTTTTCCTTTTTTGTTATTGTGTTGTGTTTTTAAGTAAGCTTGTAGTTTTAGGACATTAAACGGAGTGATCAACTGGTTCCAGCTTTGACTTACAGACTAGTGACTCTGGCCCCCATTTGCGTGCAGGCGGGCTACCAGATTACCCAGCAGAGGCTCCCGATCGCTGTGAATGGGAGCTTGGCGTACAGCGTCTGTGTGGGGAGGAAGCCAAGTCAGATGGTCACCAGGACCGTGAGGGTGAAGCAGATCCAGCTGGAGCAGGACAGCGGCAAAAGCCTGCAGGACGACCTGCGGTCCCAGACGCTCATTGACCTGAACAGGGCAGGTAGGCTTGGGGACGCTCCGCCTTCCTTCCTGCCACCGCCCTTCCCCTCCAGGGCTTTCTCAAACCAGGTGAGGAAACAGGCCCCGGAGGTTGACAGATGGGTCAGAACATCAGCACTGGTGTTGGCAGAGCTGATTAGCGAGCCAGGTGGGGACTGTGGTTTCTAACCACAGTGGACTGCGTGGACTGGCTTCTAACCCATGCCTAAAATGAGGTCGACATCACCACCTACTCATGGACCCAGCAGCTTGGTGTAGGAAGCAGACATTAAAAGAAAAGAACCAAAGTTAAAAATTCAAAAGTGAGGGTAGAGAGAAGTGAGTCAGAGCCCATCAGTGATGTGTGCATGCTCAGTCGCTCAGTGTCCCACTCTGCAACCCCACGGACTGTGGCCTGCCAGGCTCCTCTGTCCGTGGGGTTCCCCAGGCACGAGTCCTGGAGTGAGTAGCCATGCCCTCCTCCAGGGGATTTTCCTGACCTAGGGATCAAACCTGTGTCTCTCCCGTCTCCTGCATTGCCAGCAGATTCTTTACCACTGAGCCACTAGGGAAGCCCCGTCAGTGGCCAGGGTTTTCCTAAAACTGAAGCCTGATGTGTCTGGGGACCGAAACCAGAGCAGTCCAGTCAGGCTGACTCTGTCTCTCTCTGGTAGGGATCGGCCTCCTGGAAGTGGTCCTGGAGCCTGACATGTCCTGTGGAGAAGAGGCGGCCACAGCTGTCAGGGAGCTGCAGCTGATTCTTCAGGCCTTGGGGACCAGCCAGGCGAACATGGCAGGTAAAAGCCCCAGAAGAAGCTCCCTCCTCTTCCCTCTCTCCCTCTCTGCGTGCGTCTCACTGGAGTGTAGTCAGCTGTAGTGGGGTTGTTTGTGTCCTTTCTCAGCCTTTTCTGCCGCAGGGTGTTTCCCCCCCTTAGAATTTCCCGTGGGTTCTCTTCTGAGCCCCTGACCAGAAATAACACGCCAACAGCAGCTCTGCAGGTAGCTGAGCCCGGGAGCGGGAGATCGGCTCAGGACCGGAGGCGCCCTCCTGCTTCTCGTCCAGGGCGCTGCGGGAATGAATAAAAGTGTGTCTGAGCAGCGCGTCATCCACAGAGGAGACAGCGTGCTCGTCCAGAGGAGCTCTTAGCTCGTGAGTTCTGTGTGGACACTGCTTAACTGCTAGTTAATGCTTTTCCTTTGGGTCTTTTTCTTTTCTGCCTTTTCGACAAAGTTTTCATCCAGGTAAAACTGAAGCCAAATTGTATCACCTGCAAACCAAGGCTATGATTTCACAAAACTTTAACTTTGAGGTAAAGTTAAATACATTTATAATTTAAATTATATTTCTTAGATGAAATAGAAGTGTAATAGGGAGTTAAACAGAAGAAACAGTGTGCAAATTTGGGATCAAGGAAACTATACACTTTTAAGTGTTTGCCAGTTGGATATAAGAATCACAAGTTTTGGTCAGTTTTTTATTGCCCCTTCTTATCACTGCTCTGCCCATCCTTACATCCCCATGCTCGTCTCATCTGTGGTTTTCCCCTATTTTCTGTTCCCAGGGTCTTTGAAAAAACTGCCACTCACAGAACACTCCCTGACAGTGTAGAGAAAGGGTGCAAGTTCTTCATCTGCAGTGGGTTAATCCATCGCTCTGTTCATTGGTGTGTTAGTCTCGATTTTTCAGAGAAACAGAATAAATAGAATGTGTATGTGTGTGTGAGAAAGAGAAATATAAATTTAGAGATTAACTATAAAGAATTAGCTCATGTGATTGTGGAGACTGAGATGTCATAAGATTTGCAGTCAGCAAGCAGCAGGAGAGCCAATAGTATTATAGTTCCAGCCTGAGACTGAAGGCCTAAGAATCAGGAGAACCCAGGGCGTAGGTTCCAATCTGAGCCAGAGTCCAAGGCAAGACTCCTATCCCAGCTCCCAGGCAATCAAGCAGAGACAGCAGATTTCCCCTGATGCTGGAAACTCAGCCGCAGTGCATCAGTGCTAAATCAAATCTCAGAGACAGAGTTTTGGGTGAAGTAGAAAAGAATAGCTTGACTTTTTTGCCAGGCAAACAGGTGAAACAGAGTAACTCAGACTGGGACTTGTGCCCACAACCTGGCCATAACCGTGACTGGGACTTGAACCCACGCAGCCAGGGACTCAAACTCTAGCAAAAACCCACAGTGTTCCAGCTAACATCACACACCTTGTTTTAGGACTTAATGAAGGTTAGCTATTCTTAGTCGCTCAATCATGTCCCACTCTTTGTGACCCCATGGATTGTAGCCTGCCAGGCTCCTCTCTCCATGGGGATTCTCCAGGCAAGAATACTAGAGTGGGTTGCCATGCCCTCCTCCAGGGGATCTTCCCAACGCAGGGTTTGAACCCAGGTCTCCCACATTGCAGGTGGATTCTTTACTGTCTGAGCCACCAGGAAAGCCCAGTGAAGATTAAGGTTTAGGTTCTTGATGTCTCATGGCAGAAAGAGTTCAGTGAGAGACAGAGTGATAGGTAAGAAGTGGATTTATTTAGAGAGAAACACACTCCACAGACAGGCTGTGGACCATCTCATGAGGGAGAGGGGCCTCGAAATATGGTGTAGTTAGCTTTTATGAGCTGGGTAATTTCATAGGCTAATGACTGGGAGGATTATTCCTGCTGTTTTGGGGAAGGGATGGAGATTTCCAGGAATTGGTGCACCACTCACTTTTTGGTCTTTGATGATCAGCCTTGGAACTGTCCTGGCACCTGTGGTTGTGTAATGTAGCTTGCTCATGTGTTACAGTGAGCATGCACTGAGGCTCAGGGTCTAGTGGAAGGCAACCTGTCCACCATCTTGGACCTATTTAGTTCTAATCAGTTTATGTGGACTTCTCAGGCTGTGTCATTCTTCCAAGGGTTGTACCCCCTGTTTCAGGGGGATCCGTGTCCCCAACACTGTGTGTCCCAGCCTGGGAGGATGTGATGAAGACTTTCACAGCAGTGATTGAAGCAGGGTGGGGGGGGGGGGGGTTGCTGGCAGGGAGCTGGGTGTGCCCAGGCTCCTTTAATCTGGCCTCAGGTGATCTCCTGATGAGCTTCTGTGGTTCTCAAGGTTATCAATCTAATCACATGGACCACAGCCTTGTCTAACTCAATGAAACTATGAGCCATGCCCTGTAGGGCCACCCAAGATGGACAGGTCATGGTGAAGAATTCTGACAAAATGTGGTCCGCTGGAGAAGGGAATGGCAAACCACTTCAGTATTCTTGCCTTGAGAACCCCATGAAGCATATGAAAAGGCAAAAAGATAGGACACTGAAAGATGAACTCCCCAGGTCAGTATATGCCCAATATGCTATGGAAATCAGTGGAGAAATAACTCCAGAAAGAATGAAGAGACAGAACCAAAGCAAAAACAAGACCTAGCTGTGGATGTGACTGGTGATGGAAGTAAAGCCCAAAGCTGTAAACAGCAACACTGCATAGGAACCTGGAATGTTAGGCCCATGAAGCAAGCCAAATTGGAAGTGGTCAAATGGGGGATGGCAAGAGTGAACATTGACATTCTAGGAATCAGTGAACTAAGATGGACTGGAATGGGTGAATTTAACTCAGATGACCATTATACCTATTACTGTGGGCAAGAATTCCTTAAAAGAAATGGAGTAGCCCTCAGAGTCAACAAAAGAGTCCAAAATGCAGTACTTGGTTGCAGTCTGAAAAATGACAGAATGATCTCTGTCCGTCTCCAAGGCAAACTGTTCAATATCACGGTAATCCAAGTCTATGTCCTGACCAGTAATGCTGAAGAAGCTGTTGAACAGTACTAGGAAGACTACAAGACCTTCTAGAATTAACACCCCAAAATGATGTCCTTTTCATTATAGGGGACTGGGATGCAAAAGTAGGAAGTCAGGAAACACCTGGAGTAACAGGCAGATTTGGCCTTGGAGTACCGAATGAAGCAGGGCAAAGGCTAACAGTTTTGCCAAGAGAACGCACTGGTCATAGCAAACACCCTCTTCCAACACACAAGAGAACACTCTACACATGGACATCACCAGATGGTCAACACCAAAATCAGATTGATTATTTTCTTTGTAGCCAAAGATGGAGAAGGTCTATACGGTGGGAAAAAACAAGACCGGGAGCTGACTGTGACTCAGGTCATGAACTCCTTATTGCCAAATTCAGACTGAAATTGAAGAAAGTAGGGAAAACCACTAGACCATTCAGGTATGACCTAAATCAAATCCCTCATGATTATACAGTGGAAGTGGAAAATAGATTTAAGGGACTAGATCTGATAGACAGAGTGCCTGATTGTTATGCCCGATGTCCGAATCCCCGAGTGGGAAGAGAGAACGCTTCCAAGACAGTGCAACTCGTGAAAAAAGGAAGTTTATTGCTGACTCGAGTCAGGGCTCCCGCCGCACGTCCAGCGCAGAGGTACGGGGTCAAAGAGCGCTGAGCTCAAGCTGTTACCCAATTTATAAGGTGTGCATAAGCAGTTGGTAGCTGGCTTAAGCGGATTGGTTACATGTTTGCAAAGTAATCTTATTGGCCCAAACCTTCGCGGGCTTTTCAGCTTTCCCCTGATAGGTTCCCTTTTTCTTGCTAGGCGCATGTTGATTGGCTGGCTCCAGGTTACCTGATGGGGGCGGGGAATCCCACCATTTCAGGGGAAACCGAAACCCAGGTCCAGGCCGCCTGCCATCCCCAGCAGCCCCACATTCCCCCCTGTCTTTGTTTCTATGGAATGCCCAATCATGGGTCTTTTATATCATCTGTGGGGACAGTCGAATATTGAGATCTGAGTAACATTAGGTGGACGGACAGGCAGTGTGTTTTTCCTAACAACTCCCCCTTGAGAGACTTCATACTCAAGATGCTTTTTGGGATTTGGGGCGGAGGTCTCTTTCTTCTGTAACTTCTTCCTGCTGTGCCTGGGTGTAGGCCTGCCTAGCAGAGCAGAAGTCTCTCTGTACCTGACCTAAGTTGGGGTGTTTTATATCTGAAACCAGCATTTACTCTTGTAATAACAGCAACTTAGTTTGAAACTGTTGGCGCCTCTCAGAGATAAAATAGACAGGGGCCAATCAGGAGACCTAACAGGATGGTCATCACTGGTCCCCAGAAACAGGAGGCAACATTTGGGGTGATTGGCTGGTGGTCAAGCAACAGAGCTGTGTTCTAGGAATCTTGTGTTTAGCCTGAAGCTACCATCTTCCACCTGGGTGGGGGCTCCAGTTCTGTAGAAGAACTCAAAAGACATTGTTATGCATGTTTCTTTGAGTAGAACCAGGACCCTTCTCAAGGCTGTACCACCATTTGATTGTTTCCCCTCTGTTTCTGTATTTCCTCCCTTCTCTGATTAGTAATTGTTTGAATCCACCCCTTGGAACTCAGGAATACTTCCAGTTCAGTGTCTCTTCTCCAAGCTGAGGCAGTCCTATGCCCCGTTTTGACAGAAAGTTATCACAGTCATAGTTGCCCTGTTCTCTAAATTAAAACTGAGCAGGACTCTGTGGGGCGGCGACTCTGGAGTACAGATCTGCTGTACTGTAAAATATAGGCCTGCCTCTTTGACCTTCCCTGAGTTCCAAGTCCTAGATCTGAGCCTTGTATGATTAAAGCCTCAATCCCTTGGTCTGCCATTTTGTGGTAACATACCCAGTTAGTAGTAGCTGGAGGAGGGATAACTGGAATTTTAATAGACAAAATAAATCTCTTTCTTTTTAGAAGAATAGGCCTGAAACCCAGTCTGGAACTGGCACTTTGGGGAGACTTTTGGCCAGGTGGCCAGTTACCTAG